CGTAAGGGCGGCCAAAGGGGCCGTGAGAGGGGCCACTAAGGGCGGCTCGAAGGTAGGGAGGGCACACAGAGCGCGACTCGGGCAGGAGTGAAGCTCGCTACGAGCAGGAAAAAAAGTATCGTGGTGGGCCCTAGGTAGCGTTCCCACTAGGGAATCTGCTCGATACCATGACGAGAAACGAGAATGAATGCATTGAGCAGAAAGGGGAGTACAAGTAGCAAACCCTAAAGTGTTGTACCCCATATGAACTGCCCCACTACAGCCTACACAGACTATAGCATATATGCCTGACAAACTCTACATGCCGACGGGCTTTGAGGAAATTAGAACGAGAATGAATGACTATGGAATGAAAGTGATACAAATATGCAACCCTAGAAATGTGTACCCCATATGGGCTACCCCACTAAAGCCTAGACTTCACGTGGGCGAGTCCAGCAGTGTCAGCAGTGGCAAAGACCAAGTCGTCGACGTACACGAGGATGTAGAGCGGCGGCAAAGAGGTGTCGGTGCGTAGAAACAGCGACGGGTCAGCAGTAGAGGGAGCAAACCCAAGAGCCGCAAGCGTAGTCCCCAGTGTGTCGTGCCACTCGCGCGGTGCCTGGCGGAGACCGTAGACTGGCCATCGGAGGCTCCACTTGGTGACAGGAGGGAAAGTCCCTGTGAAGCCAGGTGGATGGGGCAGCCAGATCTCCTCGTGCAGGCTACCCTGCAGGAAGGCAGTGCTGAAGTTAAGGGAGTGAAGCTCGTAGTCACGCTGAGCGGCTATGTGTAGCAGCACCCGAAGAGTGGTCATCTTCGGGGTGGGGGAGAAGGTCTGAAAGTAGTCAACTCCTTGCCGCTGACTAAAGCCACGAGCCACGTGACGTGCCTTGAAGACAGGCGGAGAACCCGGCGGCCGCTTCACCCTGAAGATCCACATGCCACTGACGATGTTCGCCCCAGGAAGGGGGACAGCGTCAACGTAGGTGCCTGTGGACTTCCATGAAGCCATCTCTGCATCCATAGCTGCCTACCACTGAGAGGAGTAGGGACCCTCTATCGCCTCCGCGTAAGAGCGCGGAGTCGGGATGTCAAGTGCATCCGGGTCTCCCTCAGGGGTAAGCAGTACGGACACGAGATAAGGTGAAGCAGCCGCCAGACACTGGAACTCCTCCTGCCTGTCCTCAAGGACGTCCGTGCCAAGGGCACACTCACCCCCGACGGACGGAGGACAGGCAGACTCAGACTCAGTGACAACAGTAGCAAGGAGACGCGTGAAAGTAGGACTGGCAGCACGAAGAGAGTCCGACTCAGGGTCGGCAAGTGCAGGAAGAGAGGACTCAGGAGGGGAAGGCAAAAGGGCACGCAGAGGAGCAGTAGACGGACGCAGAGCCAAAGCTCCGCCTGAGCTGGAGACGAGCCGCGCGGATCCAGTCGATCAGCACCTCAGTGACATCACCCTTGCTGCGCAAGGGGAAGACCGTGGTGTAACGCGAGTAGTCGTCAACAACGAGCAGGAAGTAGTGCTCGTGACCCTGTCCACGGACGCGGGCTGGGCCCCACACGTCCATGTGAAGCGTCTGCAACGGGGCCTCTGTCGGAGGAAACTGGGAGGAGTGAGGGGCAGCCCGCTGGCGCCCCTTGACACAGGGGACACAGGCAGGGCCAGGGCCCTGAGGAAGGGGAGGGAGGGACCGGGGGAGACCAGACACAAGAAGACGGGAGGCCATGCCTCTGAGCCAAAGCAGAGAGGGGTGACCAAGACGGTGGTGCCAGAGGAGAGTCTCGTGAGACAAGAGACGACACGAACAGGGGGCAGACTCAGGACCAGACCTGGACGCTGCAGCAAACACCTGACCGGACGAAGCGACTCTACAAGACTCAGTAACGGGAGGAGACGCAGTGGTCAGTGTGTACAGGCTCGACCCCGGCTGACGGGTAAACGTAGCCAGGTGCCGGCCTGTGCTAGCCTCTATACAGTGCGTCACCCGCTGACGCGCAGGAGTGAACTGGTGTACTCCCCCATCCTCTAGGTCAGCACCACTCACCAGGTTCGTCGAGAACGAGGGGAGGTAGAGACCAGACAGGGCGCCAGAGGGAGCCGCCGGACACGGGAGGACTGTGGAGAAGTGAGACAGTACGGGACCCCTGGAGGGGTCAGCCAGACACACCGCAACCGGCCGACTAAGCGGCGTGAGTGTGGTGCGGTCCCGAAAGAAGGAGCGAGACGCTCCAGAGTCAAGAGTGAAGGTGAGGGAGGCCGAAGCCAACGTAGTACCTGAGAGCGCAGACTCACCAGTACCTGAGGACGCAGACACACTAGCACCTAGAGCAGCAGCGTCGCAAGCACCTAGGGCAGCAGCCTCAATGCCCGGATCGGGCGGGAAACAGCGGTAGCAGTCACCCTCATCACTATGAGACACAGCATACATGGCAGAGATAATAGCATCAAAGTCAATATCAAAGATGGCAACCCCCGCCCTAGACAGCTCGTCCCAGCGAGGGATCTCGGAGGCCTCCGGAAACTGGTGACGCCACACGTCCGTCAGGTCGCCAAAGCAGCGCGGAGTGGGGTGCGCACCCCCACACTGCTCACCCGCACGGTCGCCGGTGCGCAGGACGTAGGTGCACGGACCAAAACCCCCACCCCGCTGGCGTGCAGTGTACCACTCACGGAGCTGCTGAGGGGTCAGGGTCGCACGACCACGCTGCTGCTGCTGGCGCGAGCCACCACCTGAGCCACTCCTCTACGAAGACCCGCGACCAGCTCCACCGCCACCCCCACCGCCTCCACCGCCTCCGCTGCCGCCACTGCCGCCGCCGCCTCCACCGCCTCCTCCACCGCCGCCTCCTCCGCCACCTCCGCTACCACCGCCACCGCCGCCGCCGCCTCCGCCTCCACTGCCGCCACCGACCCCCCCACCCCCACCTCCACCTCCACCGCCACCCCCACCCCCCCCACTGCCTCCACCTCCACCTCCACCGCCCGCTCCTCCAGCTCCCTTGCCCCCCTTGCCCTTGCCAGAGCGGCGTCTCCCGCTAGGGGCAGACGCCGCACCGACCGACTCAAGACCAAGGAGGTCGGCCGCAGCAGCAAAGGCAACAGAGGGCAGCAGGGGGGAGGGAGAACACCCCTCAAAGATGGGGGTGCGCGGGTCACCTCGAGAGGCTCCTACAGTGACAACGCTCTTCTCTATCGCGAGGAGGGCCTTCTCGAGGAGGTCTACAGTGAGTGTGGTGGGACAGACTGAGAGAAAGTGGTCCCTGACTACTCGAAGGGAGTCAGGGAGGCGAGTGACTAGGAAGTACACAGTGATGTACATAGGGGGGGGGGTTCGTGGTGCAGAAGTCAGTAGGAAGTGCAGCGAGGTAGCGAGTGTCACTAGTGCGGAGGTGCGTAATGAGGTCAGCAACGGTGGGAAAGGCAGCAAGGTCAGGGAAGAGGTACGGTAGCATGAGACGGCTGAGTGCAGCAGTGGAAGGGGAGGAGTAGCGCGCGACTACAGCGTCATACAAGGTATGAGCACTCTTGTTCTGACTAAAGTGCGCACGCTCGGAGGTAGGGAGGTGACGACGCACAGCAAGACGTGCAGCAGCGTCGCCCGTGGCCCACTGGGAGCGAACAGTGGCGTCAGCATCAGCAGCAGGGGCAGGGGAAGCGCCAGAGGTAAGGTCAAAGAGAGAGAGGCCGTCTGCCCTATCGCACTGAAAGAACAGCTGCAGGTCGTCTACCCAGACCTCAAAGTCAATGGCCCGACCCTCAGCGTCAAAAGCGAGGACACTAGGGGTAGCCATGACGACAGTAGCCTAGCAGTGCAAGCAGTAGGGGAAGGGCACGCAGTGACAGTGGGGCTGCGCTCACCGGACAGGGCAGGTCGGGCGGCTCGGCTGCTGGGCGGCTCGGCGGCTGGGCGGCTCGGCGGCTCAGTGCTCGGCAGCTGGGTGGCTCGGCTGCACAGCGGCTCGGCGGCTCGGCTGCTGGGCGGCTCGGCTGGTGGGCGGCCGGGCGGCTCCTCTGGTACTCGGCAGCGCAGCGGTCGGCTGCAGGAAAGGAGAGTGGCAGGGCCGCAGCAGAAGGGCGGCGGGGCCGCTAAAGCAGGGCGGCGGGGCCGCGAAGTGTAGGGCGGCGGGGCCGAGAAATTCAGGGCGGCGGGGCCGCGAGGTGTAGGGCGGCGGGGCCGCGAGGTGTAAGGCGGCGGGGCCGCTAAAGCAGGGCGGCGGGGTCGCGAAGTGTAGGGCGGCGGGGCTGCTAAAGCAGGGCGGCGGGGCCGGTAAAGCCTGGCGGCGGGGCCGCGAGGTGTAGGGCGGCGGGGCTGCGAAATGCAGGGCAGCAGGGCCGCTAGGAATAGAGGGCGGCGGGGCCGCGAGGCGTAGGGCGGCGGGGCCGCTAAAGCAGGGCGGCGGGGCCGCGAGGTGTAGGGCGGCGGGGCCGCTAAAGCAGGGCGGCGGGGCCGGTAAAGCAGGGCGGCGAGGCCGCGAGGTGTAGGGCGGCGGGGCCGCTAAAGTAGGGCGGCGGGGCCGCTAAAGCAGGGTGGCGGGGCCGGTAAAGCAGGGCGGCGGGGCCGCGAGGTGTAGGGCGGCGGGGCAGCGAAATGCAGGGCGGCGGGGCCGCGAGGTGTAGAGGGCGACGGGGCCGCGAGGCGTAGGGCGGCGGGGCCGCTAAAGCAGGGCGGCGGGGCGGCGACAGTAGGGCGGCAGGGCCGCTAGGGGAGGGAAGGCCGCTAGGGCGGCTCGTCGAGTTAGCAGCCCGAGGCGCGACTCGGGATGAGCGCGCTTCGGGCAGTAAAAAAAAAAATCGAAGTGGTGGGCCCTAGGCGCAGTTCCCACAGGGGAACCTGCTCGATACCATGAGAAAAGTTGAACAAGAATGAATGAACTATGAATGAAGCGAGTACAAATATGAAACCCTAGTTGTGTTGTACCCCCTATGGGATACCCCACTGTAGCCTACACAATAGCATAAGCTATAATGTTCTGACAAAGCAGAAGCCTCACCAGCACCTATAGCAGCAGTACCAATGCCCGGGTCGGGCGGGAAACACTGGTAACAGTCACCCTCATCTCTAATAGTCACAGCATACATGGCAGCAAGGATAGCATCAAAGTCAAGATCATAGATAGCTACGCCTGCCCTAGAAAGCTCTCCCCAGCGGGGGATCTCACTGGCCTCTAGGAACTGCTGACGCCAAGCGTCCGTCAGGCGGCCAAAGCAGCGCTGGGTGGGGTGGGCACCCCCACACTGCTCACCCGCGCGGTCGCCGGAGCGAAGGACGTAGGTGCACGGACAAAAACCCCCACCACGCTGACGCTGCGCGTACCAATCACGGAGCTGCTGAGGGGGGGGAATGTCCCCAGAACGCTGCTGCTGCTGGCGCTGACCACCACCAGGGCTGCTCCGCTGCGAAGCGCCACCCCGACCACCTCCACCTCCTCCACCACCGCCTCCTCCACCTCCGCCACCACCGCCGCCTCCGCTAGCACCGCCGCCGCCTCCGCCGCCTCCTCCTCCACTGCTGCCACCGACACCTCCACCCCCGCCACCACTCCCACCGCCACCCCCACTCCCTCCGCCGCCTCCACCGCCACCTCCACCGCCCCCGCTAGCTCCACCCGCGCCCTTGCCCCCCTTGCCCTTGCCAGAGCGGCGTCTCCCGCTAGAGGCAGACGCCACACCGACCGACTCAAGACCAACGAGGTCGGCCGCAGCGGCAGAGGCGACAGAGGGCAACAGGGGGGAAGGAGAACACCCCTCAAAGATGGGGGTGCGAGGGTCACCACGAGAGGCTCCTACAGCGACTATGCTCTTCTCCGCTGCTAGGGGGGCCTTCTCTAAGAGGTCAACAGTGAGAGTGGTGGGACAGACTGAGAGGATGTGGTCCCTGACTACACGAAGGGAGTCAGGGAGGCGGGTGACTATATAATTGAGAGTGATGTACATGGGGGGGGGGGGGGGTTCTTGGCGCAGAACTCAGAAGGAAGCGCGGCGCGGTAGCGAGTGTCACTAGTGCGGAGGTGCGTAATGAGGTCAGCGTGAGAAAATGAGAACGAGAATGAATGAACTATGAAACAGTTGGGTACAAGTACTAACCCTAATTGGGTTTTACCCCATATGGGCTACCCCACTACAGCCTACACAAAAGCATAAGCTATAATGTTCAGACACACCCCCATAGGCAAAGTGGGGGAGAACAAGCGGTCACAAGACCAGTCAAGCAAAGCAAGCTCAGGGTGGATCACAAAGTCACCACACATTCCGAGCACAAGTTCAAGGCCACAAGGCCTGTTCACATGCATGAGTACATATATATAGAAAGCTAGACAAGCAAGAGCAGGTGTATATATATATAACAGTACAAGTAAGGTCAAGAGGTGAGCAAGTGAGGCAAGACAGGCACAAGACCAAGTTGAGTGCAGAAGCGCTAATGATCACAAGGCGCAAGTGCCTTGGTGAAGATATCAGCAGTGTTGGCCTCAGAGGCCATGTACGCAAGACGCAACTGACCACGCTACTGCAGCTCACGAGCAAGGAAGTAGCGAAGAGCAATGTGCTTCGTTCTGTGCTCCAGTCTCTGCTCTCGACACAAGGCCAGCATGGCCTTGTTGTCTACGTACAGCACTGGAGGAGAACGAGGCGGCTCTCCGAGGTCAGTCAGCAGGTAGGTGAGCTAGCGAAGCTCCTGTGCAGCCATGGCCCCGGCGTAGATCTCAGCCTCACAACTGGAGCCGAGAACAGAAGACGAGCGGGTAGCCCGCCACGAAACAGAGCCGGAACCAAGGCTGAAGGTGTAACCCTGTGACGACCGCTGCGTAGCCTCGACCTCTGCCCAAGAAGCGTCCGCGTGCCCAGTGAGGACCACTGGACTCCGCCCTCCAAGCACTAGCCCCATGCCCGACGTACTGCACAAGTAGCGCAACACCCTCTTCGCTGCAGCCATGTGCTCTGGTCGGTGTCTCCCAGGAGCAACATAGCGTGCAAGAATGCTAAGAGGGTATGCAAGGTCAGGTCGTGTGCATGAGGCATCAGGTACATGAGGCAGCCAACAGGCTCTGGGTACGGGCCACTCGGCTCTACGGACTCATCTGAAGGCAGAGCTGAGAGCGAGTGGCGAGTAGACAGAGGAGTGGCCTGAGGCGAGGAGTACGTGAAGCCGAAGCGCTGAAGGACCTGCTGCACCATGTGTGACTGGGTCAGGGTAATGGTGCGGCGTGCTCTGTCCCGGGTGATCTGCGAGCCAAGGTAGCTGCGCAGTTCACCCAGGTCTGTGCACGTGTGTCTCTTCTGCAGCTCCGACTTCACGTGGGCGAGTCCAGCAGTGTCAGCTGTGGCAAAGACCAAGTCGTCGACGTACACGAGGATGTAGAACGGCGGCAGAGAGGTGTCGGTGCGTAGAAACAGCGACAGGTCAGCAGTAGAGGGAGCAAACCCAAGAGCCGCAAGTGTAGTCCTCAGTGTGTCGTGCCACTCGCGCGGTGCCTGGCGGAGACCGTAGACTGGCCGTCGGAGGCTCCAGTGGGTGCCAGGAGGGAAAGTCCCAGTCAAGCCAGGTGGACGGCGCAACCAGATCTCCTCGTGCAGGCTACCCTGCAGGAAAGCAGTGCTGAAGTCAAGGGAGTGAAGCTCGTAGTCACGCTGAGCGGCTACATGTAGCAGCACCCGAAGAGTGGTCATCTTCGGGGTGGGAGAGGTCTGAAAGTAGTCGACTCCCTGCCGCTGACTGAAGCCACGAGCCACGTACCGCGCCTTGAAGACAGGTGGAGAGCCCGGCGGCCGCTTCACCCTGAAGATCCACATGCCACTGACGATGTTCGCCCCAGGAGGGGGAACTGCGTCAACGTAGGTGCCTGTGGACTTCCAGGAAGCCATCTCTGCATCCATAGCTGCCTGCCACTAAGAGGAGTAGGGACCCTCTACGGCCTCCGCGTAAGAGCGCGGAGTCGGGATGTCTAGTGCATCCGGGTCTCCCTCAGGGGTAAGCAGTACGGACGTGAGATGAGGTGAAGCAGCAGCCAGACACTGGAACTCCTCCTGCCTGTCCTCAACGACGTTCGTGCCAAGAGCACACTCACCCCCGACGGACGGAGGACAGACAGACGCAGACTCAGCAACAAGACTAGCAGCGTAGTCTAGACGACAGCGAGCAGCAAAGTCGACGAGCTCAGCAACAAGAGCAGACGTAGCAGTGGACTCAAAGGAGGGGTCAGTGAAGACAGTAGCAAGGAGACCAAGACAGTAGGACAGGCAGCACGAAGAGAGTCCGACTCAGGGTCGGCAAGTACAGGAAGAGAGGACTCAGGAGGAGAAGGCAAAGGGGCACGAAGAGGAGCAGTGGACGGACGCAGAGACATCTGGTGCGTGCCAGGGACAGGAGGAGGACGCTGACGTGAACTGCGACCACTAGTGCGAGCAGCACGAACAGGCGACGCAGGACGAGACGCAGGCTCACGACGCTCAGCAAGACCTCCAGTAGGACCAGTGTACGGAGAAGGAGAAGGCAGTGGGGAGACCGGTGGTAACTGTGACTGCGAATCGACAGGCGGTCGAAGACCAAGAACCTACTGAAGGAGCGGAACAAAGTACGGCCGAGGCCGCGCGGCGACTCCAGGCACAGCAGGGACAGCACCAGCACCCCCAGCGGTAGTACTAGCGTCAACAGCACCTCCAGCTCCAGTACCTCCAGCAGCACCTCTAGCACCCACAGCAGGACCGCCGCCAGGACTGACAGCAGTGGCCTCCGCGCCAACACCCTCAGCAGCTCCGACTCCAGTAGCACTCGCAGGACTAGCACCTCCGAGACCTGCGGCACCAGCACCCTCAGCAGCCGAAGAAGCACCAGCTCCAGTCGTACGCCTCCAGCGCCGGGCAAACCACTCGCGCAGCTCCTGTGGAGAGAGTGGCTCCCGCCGAGACGAAGCACCCGGAGAACCAACAGGCCCAGCACCGTCAGACGCCACACGAGCAGGTCCACCGGCCGCGGGCTCCGCACCCCCAGGCTCAGTAGCTCCACACTCAGCACCCCCAGGCGAAGGACCCCCAGGCTCAGCACCCCCAGTCGTAGCACCCCCAGGCTTAGCACCCCAAGTCGTAGCACCCCCAGGCTCAGCACCCCCAGGCTCAGCACCCCCAGTCGCAGCATCCCCAGACGCAGCACCTACAGGCTCAGCACCCACGCGCGCAGCACCCCTAGAGTCACCACCCCCAAGCTCAGCACCCGCAGCTCTACCAGAGTCACCAGCAACCTTGACCGGCTCAACTGCATCTACCTGGGACATACCTGAAGGGGCAGGAACCTGAGGGGGGAGGGGGTCTACCGGGGGGGGACCTGGCACAAGGAAGTGCAGTGGCGGGGGGAGGGAAGAGGCGGTAGTAGGGTACTGACTCGTTGAACGTGACGTCCTTGGAGGACAGAACACGACGAGAGGTGGGGTGGTAGAACTGCCACCCAGGGGCGTCAGGGGGGAAGCCAAGGAAGACACAGGGAGCAGCACGAGGGGACAGCTTGTCCGCAGACAAGTCGCGGACAAACGCCCCAGATCCCCAGACACGGAACGTAGACGCATCGCCGACCTTCCCCGTCCACAGCAAGGCTGGGGAGGTCTCCGGTCTGGAGACCCTGGGGTGAAGGTTGATCTGATGCGCCGCGTACCGAACCGCAAACGGCCACAGAAAATGGGGGGCAGCCGCATGCATCATGGACGTACGAGCGACGTCCATGACCATGCCAATGCGGCGCTCAGCAATCCCATTTTGCTGTGGAGATTCCGGAAGCGTGAAGGTCTGGCGGATGCCTCGCGCACGACAGTAGGCTCGCAGAAGGCCAGAGGAGAACTCTCCGCCTCGGTAAGAGTGCAGACGCAGAACAGGAAAGTCCGAGCCGAAGCTCCTCCTGAGCTGGAGACGAGCTGCGCGGATTCAGTCGATCAACACCTCAGCGACATCACCCTTGCTGCGCAAGGGGAAGACTGTGGTGTGACGCGAGTAGTCGTCAACCACCAGCAGGAAGTAGCGCTCGTGACCCTGTCCACGGACGCGGGCCGGGCCCCACACGTCCATGTGAAGCGTCTGCAGCGGGGCCTCTGTCGGGGGAAACTGAGAGGAGTGAGGGGCAGCTCGGAGACGCCCCTCGACACAGGGGACACAGGAAGGACCAGGCCCCGGAGGAAGGGGAGGGAGGGACCGGGGAAGACCAGAGACAAGGACACGGGAAGCCATGCCTCGGAGACGAGGCAGGGAGGGGTGACCAAGACGGTGGTGCTAGAGGAGAGTCTCGTGAGACAAGAGGCGACATGAGCAGGGGGCAGACTCAGGACCAGACCTGGACGCTGCAGCAAACACCTGACCCGACAAAGCTACCTGACCAGACTCAGCAGCCGGAGGAGACTCAGTGTTCAGTGTGTACAGGCTCGACCCCAGCCGACGTGTAAACGTGGCCAGGTGTCGGCCTGTCCGAGCGTCCGTGCAGTGGGTCACCTGCTGACTCGCAGGAGTGAACTGGTGAACCCCCGTATCCTGCAGGTCAGCACCACTCACCAAGTTTGTAGAGAACGAGTGGAGGTAAAGACCAGACAAGGTGTTAGAGGGGGCAGCCGGACACGGGAGGACAGTGGAGAAGTGAGAGAGGACAGGACCCCCAGAGGGGTCTGCCAGGGAGACTGCAACTCGCCGAACAAGCGGCGTGAGTGTGGTGCGGTCTCGAAAGAAGGAGTGAGAAGCCCTTGAGTCAAGTGTGAAGGTGAGGGAGGCCGAAGCCGACGTGGTACCTGAGAGCGCAGACTCACCAGCATCTGAGGGCGCGGACGCACTGGCACCTAGAGCAGCAG